TTTTTGAGACGGAATTTCGCTCGTTACCCAGGCTGGAGTGCAATGGCGCAATCTCGGCTCACCACAACCTCCGCCTCCTGGATTCAGGCAATTCTCCTGCCTCAGCCTCCTTGAGTAGCTGGGGATTACAGGCACGTGCCACCATGCCCAGCTAAGTTTTTGTATTTTTAGTAGAGATGGGGTTTCACCACGTTGACCAGGATGGTCTCGATCTCTTGACCTCGTGATCCAACCGCCTCGGCCTCCCAAAATGCAGAATTCTTATGCCTTTAAAAACATACAAACAAAATGTCCTCAGAGCTCCGGAGGTGAGATTTTATCACACCATCCTGTGAGGTGGACACTTATGGCCCCTGAGATCTCACTCATATGGAAGTGGAAAGGCAGATGCTGTTTGGAAGAGGAGAGACTGAATTTTATCTTACATTTTAAAAAGAGGTCATATATTCACATGATACAAGGTTCAAAAGATACACAGGGCATCTTGTGAAAAGTCTCCTTCCTGACTGTCCCCAGTCATCCAAGTAGCACCTCTGTGTATTCAAGTGAAAGGATATCTCCGCATCTGCCCAGCTTTAAAAAATGGAAATCAGAAATGGTAATATATGTATGCTCTTTTCTGCATCTTGCTTTTTTTTTTGTGACAGAGTCTCACTCTGTCACCCAGGCTGGAGTGCAGTGGCGTGGTCTTGGCTCACTGCAACCTCCACCTCCCAGGTTCAAGTGATTCTCCTGCCTCAGCCTCCTGAGTAGCTGGGACTACAGGTGCCCACCACACTGGGCTAATTTTTGTATTTTTAGTAGAGATAGGGTTTCACTATGTTGGTCAGGCTGGTCTCAAACTCCTGACCTCATGATCCACCTGTCCCTTGTGGCATCCCAAAGTGCTGGGGTTACAGGCATGAGCCACCACACCTGGCCTGCACCTTGCTTTTTAAAATTTCTTGTCAGAGCATCCTCATTCTTTTTGCAACTGCATAGTATTCCACTGTGTGACTATATCATCATTAAATTTAACTAGACCTCTATAGATGGAACTTGGGTTATCTCCAGTGTGTTGCTATTACAAACAATACAACAACAGATAACTTGTAAACATTTTCTTTCAAACTTGAGCAGTTATATCTCTAAGGTCAAGTCCCAGAATGAGATTGACTGGAGAATAAATAAATGTGTAATTTTTAAAGCTATGGACAGGCTCTTCCCCACAAATGTTACACCATTTTGCATCCATATGATTAATGAAAAAGAGTCCCATTTCACCCCTACAGTTTCATTAACAGAACGTTAAACCTCTGCATCTCTGTCAGCAGGGACAGATGAGGAGTCAATTTTCTGCACGGTTTGTGGGGGAAGGTGGAGGAGGGATCAGCTATACTGCGAACCTTGCTGGGGTCCAGAGCAAGATTCCTGCAATGCCTTTGCAGATAGCAGCAGGCATTCAGTGGCAACAGAAAAGCCCATCAGCTTTTTAGTTTTGGTTTACGTGTCTGAAATATATTTTTAAATTTATTTTAAAAATTGACTTTAAGTTTGGCATAAAGCTCCATGAATGTTAACACATGTATCGATCTGAGTGACCCCACCACGATGAAGAATGGTTGTATAATCTTCAAAACTCCTTCCTGCCATCCCTTTGAAGTCACCACCTCCCCCCACCCCAAAACCCCTAGGCAAGTGCTGATCCATTCTCCATCACTGTGGTTTTATCTTTTCGAGAACATGATATAAATAGAACCGTACAGTATGTAACCCTAGGAGCTTGACTTCTTCAGTTCAGCATAATTTCCTGGAGGTTTCATCCAAGCTGTTGCACGCCTCCATAGCGTGTTGCTTTTTACTGCTGAGGAGTATCACAGTTCATTTACCCATTCACCCATTCAGGGACATTGGGATTGTTTCCAGTTTGGGCTGATTATTATTAATAAAACTGCTGTAAGCAGGCATGTACCATTATTTGTAGAAACATAGGCTTTAATTTCTCCTTGGTATAGTTTAATTTCATATCGTATTGAGTTAGGGATATTTTCATACATTTAAAAGACATTTATATTTCCTTTAGCTGCTCATTTCTTTTATCCATTTTTTTTTTTTTTTTTGGTGGTTTTTGATTCTTATTTTAGACAAATTGGTTTAGGGGAGCTGATAGGACATCCAGATGGAAACGTTTAGCATTCAATTAAAAAATGCAGGCTTCAATTTTGAGACTGATAGGGAAGGGAGAGATGAAGCCAGGGAACTGTGCAAACTCGAGAGAAACACGCCGGGCTTGAAGACAGAATCTGTGGAAATGCCCACATTTAGGATGTGGAAAGAGGAAGATTTAATGGAAGAAACCAAGAAAGAGATTTCTTAGAGGTCACAGAAGAACCAGACTATTTCAGGGTAGCATTAATACAAGCTGGATTTTAAAGGTCTGATAAGTAAAGGGTTTAAATCCCAGGGCACAACGTTAAGAGAAAGAACATCTCTCTCCAAGAATTCCAAACAAAAGGCCTACACTTCTTTCTGATTGTTTCAGCGAGGTCACATGATCACCCCCCCCACCCCCATCCCCACCCCCGCAACTACTCTCTAAGAAAGGAATTCAGTGCATTGATTGGCCTACCCAGGTCATGTGCTTCAACTTCATAATTTCCCAGAACCTCATGGATCCCCAAGGAGAAATATGGGGCTGTTGCTGGAGGATTTAGATGTTGAAGAAACAGCCTGTGAGTGTCCAGGGAGTGGCCTTTCAGAGTGGTGCATCCCGAGTGCGGGAGTCTAGGAGCAGCTGCGTATGAAGTTGAGAAACTGGAGGCAACATGTGTAGAAAACCCAAAGAGTTTGGCTCAATTTTGGTAACCAGGAAGCCTAAATGATGGACTTTTTTTTTTTTTTTTGCCAAATTAAGGCAATATGAGTGCATATTCATATGCCCAAGAAAAGAAACCACAGGGACGGAGGCTGCAGAGATCGTGAAGCCTGAGGGGATAGCAGACCTGGACTGAAGTGTGCACTGGTGAAGCCCTGGAGCCAGGTGTAGGCAGTGAGGACACACAAGCCTTCCTCTGAGAAGCAGGCGCTCTCCCTCACCCCATCACCCTCACTCCTCCCCCGTCCACTCTCACTCCCCAGTACCATCACTTGTTCCCCATCTACTCTCACTCCCCCACACCCTCACTCCTCCCCTAACCACTCATTCCCCCTACACCCCAGTCATCCCCCATCCACTCTCACTTTCCCCACACCCTCACTCCTCCCCTACCACTCACTCCTCCCACAACCACCCTCACCTCCCACCACCCTCACTCCTCCCCATCCACCCTCATTCCTCCCCCCCGTCCACTCTCACTCCCAACCCTCACTCCTCCCACCACCCTCAGTCCTCCCCCAACTTCTCTTCCCTCATTTCTCTCCCCTCACTCATCCCCCACCACCCTCACTCCCCCACCACTGTCCTTCCTCCCTGCCTCACTCCTCCCCTCCACCCTCACTCCTCCACTACCACCATCACGCCTCCCCTCCACCCTTACTCCTCCCCCCACTTTCCCTCCTCCCCCCTCCTCCCTTCACCCTCACTCCTCCCCCATCCACCCTCAGTCCTCTCCCACTACCCTCACTCCTCCCCGTGTCCACCCTCCCCACTGCAGTCAGACAATCTTTTAAAAGTGAAAATCCAGTCATGTTGCTACCCAGTGAGAGCTACTCAGGATTTCAGGCTGCTCCCAGGATGTGGTACTCACGGCGTGGGTTGGACTTCAGGGCCCTGTGTCAAGTGTGAAGTGGTTCCTGCCTGTGTTCACCCTCTCCTCTCCAGCTCCAAGGGACCATCGAGATCCCTCACTGGCCTCTTTCCCTCTGAAATAATGGTAACTGTCTCTTTACCAGACTGTGAGATCCAGGACAGGTGGGGATCGTGTGTTTGGTTCACCCTGGATGCTCTAGCACTGTGTTTGGCAAACAGTAGGCACTCATCCACGGCCACCGGAAGGATGGATGGATGGATGCCCACTAATTTGTGAAATTTGCTGTTGCCTTAGTGATTGTTTCTAAAATCTAATTCTCACACATTGTTTATCCAAATCAGAAGTAATTGTATTAGACACTAAGCAAGAGAAATAAATAATGAAGTTATTAGGAAAAGCAAGACAAGTCTTAGAATTCCATTTTATATATAGGAAAAAAAGAATGTATGGAAACATGCAAACATAGGGAAAGTGCTTAACTCCAGGTATTGAAACTAAGAATCGATTAATTACACTGTGCAAAGAGAAGATTAAGGAAAGAGGAAAATGTGGGACATCAAGAAGTTGAAGATATTTTAAGCAGGGAAGGAAGGGAGGAGGCGATGGAAGAAAACAAGTTTAATGTTCTAAAGAGTGGGATTAATTAAATAAATCATGGTACAACTGCTCCATGAAATTGTATGCACACTGTTTGAAATCCTGTCTCTGAAGGCGGGGTATAGTGCCAAGACTGATGCAAAAGAGCTTTGGTGCCACCACATCCAATGTCTCCTCAGACCACCCCAAAGGAGCATGTCCTCTATGTAACAGTGTGCTTGCTGTGTGCATTCAGCTCCCCCAGAAGTGATCTTCCCCCTCTAGCCAGCCTGCAGCCCAACTCCTGCCTGCCAAGAAAGAATGGTGGTCTCTCTGTGAAGACGGTGACAGTATTTGTGATATAAGCATCAAAATACTTATTGTGTTTATATAAGTTTGAAGGACAATGGGATTATAGTTATTAAGAAAACAAATACAGAATTTATTCCAAAAGGTTAAAAAAGGTGAAAGACGATATGAAACATGAGCAGCATGGTTGTGGGGAGCATTTTTTCCTATTTTCACTTCAACTTTTTAGAAGTTTACACTTTTTTTGAATATGTACTGTAAAAGAAAACAATGCAAAAACTGTGTTTTCAATATGAAATTAACATTAACCATACTTGACTCAGAATTAGACCTGTATGCAAGGAAACACTCATTGGTTCACACTGTTCTTTTCTCTCCTTCCCAAAGGATGTGCTGGGTGGCGTCCTGATCACCACGCTCCTCATCGCCCTCACCTACCCTGCCTGGACCCTCATCGACGGCCTGGACTCAGCCAGCCCCCTCTTCCCTGTGTGCGTCATAGTTGTGCCATTCTTTCTGTGTTACAATTATCCGGTTTCTGATTACTACAGCCCAACCCGGGCGGACACCACCACCATTATGGCCGCTGGGGCTGGAGTGACCATAGGCTGCTGGATCAACCATTTCTTCCACCTTGTGTCCAAGCCCACCGAATCTCTCCCTGTTATTCAGAACATCCCACCGCTCACCACCGACTTGTTAGTTCTGGTTCTGACCAAATTTACAGTGGGAATTGTGTTGATCCTCTTGGTTCGTCAGCTTGTCCAAAATCTCTCACTGCAAGTGTTATACTCGTGGTTCAAGGTGGTTACCAGGAACAAGGAGGCCAGGCGGAGACTGGAGATCGAAGTGCCTTACAAGTTTGTTACCTACACATCGGTTGGCATCTGCGCTACAACCTTTGTGCCGATGCTGCACAGGTTTCTGGGATTACCCTGAGTCTCAAACGGTTGAAAAGTAGCCCACCGGACATGAGAGCCAAGACATAGGAAAGTTATTGGTAGGCAATTCTTGACAACTCATTTTTCTTAAACAAAAAAATCATATGGCTGTCTTGCTACTATCAGATAAATGATGCCACTATGTGAAAGGGAAAAATTGTCTCATAGGTGTCATTAGTCTGCAGTGGTTATGCTACAGTTGAACCCAAGCTAAAAACCATAATCCAGATCTTGAAAGGCACACCCCCACCCCAGCCCCTGCTCCTCTGTCTTTCTGTTGCATGAACTCTGGACCTAGTCATGGGCTAGCGGGAGTTGTGGCCTGGCTTAGGAGTAGCTGTGAGCCCCACTGGGTTCTGGAGAGCCAGGAGAGATAGGATGATCTGGGAAGCTGCAGGTAGAGCTTTTATTTTCAGTTACAACCTTGCCTAGTGCTGAGTCTGATTTCCAAAATGGGAACCTTGGTCCAGGAGAAGGGATGGCACCATATTAAACTACATTCCTTGGAGAGGGTGACTTCCTTATCATTTATTTGGTGTTGATTTTGTTTTGTTTTGTGTGTTTGAGACAGGATCTTCCTCTGTTTCCCAGGCTGTAGTACAGTGGCACGATCTCAGTTCACTGCAAACTCTGCTTCCCAGGCTCAAGCGATCCTCCTGCCTCAGCCTCCTGAGTAGCTGAGACTATAAGAATGAACCACCATGCCCATCTAATTTTTGTAGAGACAGGGTTTTACCATGTTGCCCAGGCATGTCTCAAACTCCTGGGCTCAAGCAATCCACCTGCCTCAGCCTCCCAAAGTGCTACGATTACAGGCATGAGCCACTGTGCCCAGCCTCCTCCTTGCTGTGATCAAATTAGATGGTGCCTGGTTGGGTGGTAAGACCATTCTGGAAAAAAAAAAAAAAAAAAAAAACTCACTGTGAACAGATGAAAGGCAGAGGCAGAGCTGTGAGGTCATGGGGAAGAGCCTGCTTTCCTTGAGTCCTGGTGTTCCTGTTGAAACAGAGATCTGGTCTTCCTTATTTATATACATTTTGCAGGATTCCAGGTACCATTACTAAACTCTTCTGACCCATAAAACAAGCTGGTTGCTCCCACTTCACCAAACAGGTTGGGTGTTAGCCTTCAACACAAGTGGATATATCTGGGATTCACTGAGATTCCCACCCTTTCCTGCTCCTAGTGGTTTGGGACAGGCCCTCTGCCCATCTTCAGCAGTTTTTTGCTTTCATAAAAACTTGGAAGACACTGGCATCTCCTGGAAAGCGGATCCATAGAAGAACAGATGAACTCGATCCTTTCTGGAGCCTGACAAACAACAGATAGGTTTCCTTGACTGCCTGGTCCTGACAAGGCCTCCATGACATTACTCCTCCAATTTCACAGTTACCTTCTGTAAATCTATTTTCCCATCTACTGAATAGAATCAGGCTCCCTTTCTGTCTTCCCACCTCTTACCTCTTGGCAATTTTAAGGGTAATTAATGCAAGAACAACTTTAGCATCCGTTGGGAAAACAAGCCAACCAAATACAACACCCATTAAGCCTACCAGGGTGAGTCCTCTTAACATAGGAAGGTGATGATTATGCAGACATCAGAGTCCCTTCCTCTTCAGTTCCTAAGAATAAGGAACAGGTATCAAGAACTTTTTCAAAGTTCGTGTAACTATAGTTAACAAAGTATCTATTGAGGCACAGTGCCTGTAAGACTGAAGCCCATGCTTTATCAACCCAACACATCATTACCATGTATATACTTTGGAAAATATTAGCTTCCCTGAAAGTTACAGAGGCTTTTAATGTGATAAAACTGAAAAATCACATTCTTGTTGATTTCAAATATATTCTACGGCCTTACTGTTGGGATGATCATTAGTATCTAACTTAGCACTCCAATTTCTCAAGAACTTTTAGCAAAACATCCTCTTTTTACTTAAAATTCTTCTCACGTTTATTATAGTTAGAAAGCAAAGATCAAGATGACCTACCATTTGACTGCTTTTACATCAAACTCTGACGAGTATTTACAGCACAACTCAGGGGAAGGGCCTTAGCAAGCAGGCACCCTCAGCCCGCACCTGCACCTGCACTGCAGTGGCTGTCAGCTGGATGAGGCACTTTTCTGTATTTCCATCCTCATAGCTTCCCAGCCAGAGTTCGCAACAGTGGGTAGCTATACAAAATAATTGTGGTTGACTTGTCTGAAGCCAGCTGACAAAAGGTTCAGGTTTTCCCACTTGTGTCTTTTAAAAGGAGGGATTGTGATAATGGTCAAAGCAGTGGGTGTTGGCATATCATATATATATATGTGTGTGTGTATATATATATATGTGTGTATATATGCATACTTTTTAGTGCTGTCTCTAGTTTTAACCCCCAACAATAGGAAGGCACGTCAGCTATATTGATATATTTAAGGCTGCACTTACCTAATTTGGGTTGAGGATGAATATATCAGCCACAGCACTTTAAAGCTTGAGCCCAGGATTGGCCATGGTTGGTCACTTTTTAAAGTAGCTGATTGCTGCAGCTGGAGAATGAAAAGCATACACTTGTGACGCCAACCTCTGTTTTTGAGCCCTCCTGCTCTGTGGTGTAGAAGCAGACAGAAATTGATTGGGGGGAAAGCAAGGCATTATCTGATTCAAACTCTTTTCTTGCTAGCCCTCTTCCATTCCTTTCTCACATAGCACTTCGCTGGGTTAAATCCTCTCTCACTCACACCATTGCATGCCCCTTAAAAGGCTATGGCTTCAGGTTCCTTTCAAGACATCTGGATTTTCTCTCTGGGGAAGGAGCGCCCCCTACTGGTATGGCTTCAGTCTAGGTTCACGGTCCCTCTTGATCTGGTGTCTTGGAGATTAATTTATAAGTCAAGCTCACCACAACCTAAGCCTATGGTCTGGCCAACCTTGCTTCTGGGAACTGTGACACCAAAGCTCTCAGGATTAATCTGCCCTTCCCGGAGCCAGATAAAATGACATGCCTTTTTCCTAATTGTCCCCATTCTACCCCCAACCCACTGCCACTGTGGGCCAAGGCATCTTGATCTAAAGATTAGCTGCAATCTTCATCTAAAACACCTCTCATTTCATGCCAGTTTTGCTCAAACCTGCACCATCACAAGATATTCAGAAGATGAAAACGTAGAATACACCCCTGAATTAAAAACACTTATATGGCTGTGGCTGGAATTACTCTAAAACATGCCCAGTGATCTTACTGTAACATGGGATTTTTCTCACCCAAATGGGCAACTCATGCTTCCTGAGTATAATCAAAGCACGTGGTGTTTTGGGGCCATATGCTCCAGGTTTCTATTTTAGAGACCTTCAGCTGTCTTGCTTATGTGCTATATGTAAATTTATTCTTTTTAAAATAACTTTTATTTGATTTTGACTTATTAAATGCTTTAAAAGCCAGTGTTCTGTTTCCTTGAATTTTTTTCTTAATGTAGACATTTTTCTCTGAATTCATTGGACCTGAGTTGAGAAGGGGACGACAACACTTAAGTGGCAGGCTACGGAATTCTCTGTGGTTGTCATAATCCAGTCACGTGCAAATGATGGTGAGCGTTGGAGGGCCCACGGGTGTGGTAACAGGAAAGAAGTGGCATGCTAGCATCCTTCAATCCCCTCCTCTAGTCCCTGATATAAAAGAATCTCCTTTCACCTTATATGGAGTTAAATGTCGCTGTGTTTTGAAAGGTAAATCTTGTAAGTGTTGCTAGTTAAGGTAAGTAAAAGGTTTTTAGAGATGAGTTCCGTATCTGCTGAACCAAATGAGCACAACCGTAATTCAAATTCACCTCACGTCACTGCAATAATGCGCTCTGCCTTTAAGCATCCCAAATTTGCTATTTGAGATGGTACATATGGTTGACACTGCCCCTTATTTGCAAGGGCAAACCTAGGTCTCTCTTTGTACTTTGAGCAGGATGTATGGGATGTAAAGCTCCAACCTATTCCTGTGCAGTTTTCCCAGGAGAGAGAAGACATTACAATTCAAGAGCCAAATGGTTATGGCTGTAGGGAAAAGTACGACATGGGAACTTGGAGGAGGGGGAGACTGCATGAGTGGAGTTTAAAGAACAGATGGGGTTCACACAGGGAATGTGACAGGAAGTCGGTAGGAGATGGTATTCCATGGCTAGAGAACAGCTTGTCTGAGACACTTCCCAAATGCCTCCAGCTCTTACAAGGAAAAACCAAACCATGTAGGTGATTGTAAGAATAACGGTGGTGGTGGTGAAATAAAGGATGAGCACAGGGCTGAGACGTTGCAGAACCAAACCACAGGGATGGGAAGTGTAAGCAGCCCCTCCCAGAGGGGGTGACGTCCAGAGGTAACTTCACATACTCCTTTCATCATTCCTCATTGAAATACAGTTGCCCCTTGAACAAGTGTAGGGTGGCAACCTCCTATGTAGCAAAAATGCATGAAATTTATGACTCCCCCAAAACTTAACTACAAATAGTCTGCTATCAATGGGAAGCCTTTCTGATAGCACCCACAGTAGATTGCCGCATATATGTTATAGGCATATATGGTATTCTTACAATAAAGTTAGCTAGAGAAAAGAAAATGTTAAGAAAACCATAAGGAAGAGAAAATATATTATTTTCTTCATTAAGTGGAAGGGGATCACCACAAAAGTCTTCGTCCTCATCATCTTCACGTTGAAGAGGCTGAGCAAGAGGAGGGAGAGGAGGGGTTGTTCTTACTGTGTCACGGGTGGCAGAGAAAGGAGAAAATCCACATACCACTGAACGTCTGCGGTTCAAACCCATCCTGTTCAAGGGTAACTGTACTTACCAGTCAGCCTGGGCACGTTCCCCCGCTGAATGCACAGCGTTCCATCTCCGAACGCGCAGCGTCATTCATATCTTGTTTCTCTTTTGGCGGCCATGGCCAGCAGCTGGGACCTCACTCTGTGTTCTTCATGCCCATGCCCGTCCTCAGTCTTCTCTTTGCTCAGTGCCCTGAACTTGTCATGTGAAACTTCATTTTAAAAATATTTTACCACGATCCTGGCTCTTCAGGGGACTTCGAAATGCTCCAACTCTTTCTCTAATGATTGTGAATGAAGCCCTCGTCCTCTAGTAAGAGGCCACTCGAGAGCCAAGTGGAACAGCAATATACACGTATCTCATTTTAGACCAGAGATGTTTTCCTCAAAGCTGCATGTGTTTTGATGTTTTTCACATGAATTTTAACTGCACTTACGGGTTTCAGTTAAAATTCAGATTCATCATTTCTGTAAACATAAGGCTTTAATGGGTGACTTTGTGCACACCATGTATCCATTGTTTTCTTAAAATGAGACACACCTGTAGTACAGACTTGACTATTTACAGAATGCACATTAAGAGAATCAGAGTTGAATGTGGGCCATGAAGAGAATGTTAAATTCTTAAAACTGTAGCCACATGAGAAGGGGAGCTATACAAAGCCAAAAATAGTTCTTCCTCTTCCACGCCTGTCTGTATGGCATGCAAAAACAAACAAGCAAAGTGAGGATGTAGCTAGGAGTTCCGCTGTAATGGTTCTTTAACACATACACTCGGCATATCTGCTGGCCTGGCTCTTTCTATGGCAAGCCACATTCTGCCCGATGCAGGTGTTCAAATGCCAGTGCCTCTTTAATATACACAAAGATGGTCTCAGATCACTGGGGGCAAGCTAGGATGGCAATTGAGTGCTGCCTTAATGCCCATGCCTGCAAGGGTCTTATAATCTACCTGTACCCATGAGCGCAGGTAGGAGTGAAGCCTCCTGAGCTTCCAGTCTGCAGTGTCTCTGTCACATGGAAACCTGATGGGTGTCATTGTGAGTGGGTTCAGTTATGCACAGTGCACACTAAACACAGATCACTTTAGTCTTCCTAATTAGCCACCAATAAAAAGATGCTGAAGGATCCTGAAGATCAGAGAGCGCTTTCCACTGTGGCTCAGTAGAGACCCCAGTCCAGGCCCCTGAGTGACAGGTGTTGTGCCTGGTGTTTTGCACAAGTCATCTCACCTACATGATTTGCTTATGGGGTGCCTCTCTGTCTGGCTATCTTGTTTCATTTGTCCCAGTCGCCCAAATGATCCTTGCTTAAATGTTCTGCCCAAGACTCACAGCCAAAATATCTCTAATGAATCCCTCCTATCTCCAATGGGGCTTTTTCTCAGAACCTTTCTAGCATCAAATGTGACTGTTTATTCTGTGTGTCACAACTGGTTTCTTGCCAGCCCTAAGCAGGTGCTTATTTTAGGGACAGGCATATTTTATTCCTGACAGAAAGCTATGACATGTGGAAAGCAGAACATTTCTTTTGCTCTCAGGTTTGACATCAACCAGGCAGATTTTCTCCACATTTTCACCTTTCTGCCTAGACTTCCTGTCTGTGAGCCCTCTGATTTCAATGCTGTACATAGCAGCTCCCTCTCATAGCCTTGCCAGCACTCCTAACATGATGGATTCTTCCAAATGTTTTTTTCTTGTTTTTGTTTTGTTTTGTTTTTGAGACAGTGTCTCACTGTGTTGCCCAGGCTGGAATGCTGTGTGGTGCAATCCTGACTCACATGGCAAGGACAGGCCAGACCACCATGCCTAGTTAACGTTTGGGTTTTTTTGTTTGTTTGTTCTTTGAGATGGAGTCTCACTCTATCGCCAGGCTGGAGTGCAGTGGCATGATCTTGGCTCACTGCAACCTCTGCCTCCTGGGTTCAAGCAATTCTCCTGACTCAGTCTCCTGAGTAGCTGGGACTACAGGAGCATGCCACCATGCCCAGCTAATTTTTGTATTTTTAAAATAGAGACAGGGTTTCACCATGTTGGCCAGGATGGTCTTGATCTCTTATGATCTGCCCACCTTGGCCTCCCCAAGTGCCAGGATTATAGGCGTCAGCCACCACACCTGGCGTATTTTTTAATATATATATATATGTGTTTTTTTTTGTTTTTTTTTTTTTTGTAGAGATGGGGTTTTGCCATGTTGCCCAGGCTTGTCACTAACTCTAGGGCTTTAGTGATCCGCCTACCTCAGCCTTTGGAAGTGCTGGGATTACAGGCATGAGCCACCACACCCAGCCTTCAAATGTTTTCTAATGGAGATTCATGCCTTTCCTACCTTTCTTCAACAGAAACAAAAGGCCAAACCTTACAGATGAATAATGAAAAGCTTGAGTGTGGACCTTGAGTATTTTCTTAGCACACTCCATTAGTCACATCGAGAAGAAAAAACACCTACAGGGTTTGGTCAGACATAACTCAATTAGACCCTTTGCTGGAGATGTTTATTCAACCCACAGTCCAGCTACAATATTCATAGTCATCCTTTCTGCCTACTAGAAGCAAAAGCAGCGCAGAATGCCCGAACATGAAACAGACATCGTGGAGACTCAAACCACTGTGCATCTGCTCTGCCCTTTTTGCTGCCTGACCCGTTTGTCAAGCACAGTCGTTTGGCAGCGTGTTCCCCACATGGACTCTGGTCAGGGATCTGAGATGATTCCTGCAAAACGCTAGCTAGGCACAACACCTGTCATGCGGAGACCCGCACTGCGGTTTCTACTGAGCCATGGTGGTATCTCCCAAGTAGCTGGGACTATAGGCGCATGCCACCATCAAAGTATCCTTTGATCGTCGGGATACTTCAGTGTCTTTTTACTGGTGGCTAATTAGGAAGGCTAAAAAATCTGTGCATAATTGGCCCCACTCACAGTGGCACCTGTCAGGTTTCCATGTGACAGAGACACTGCAGACTGGAAGCCCAGGAGGCTTCCCTCCTCTCTGTGCCTCATGGGGAACAGACTGTCCCAGACATGTACTGCTGCCTTGAATTGTATCATGCATGCCGCTCTCTACTTTTGAAATGCAAGTTTTCAATAATGTGTTTTAGTTTGCTGTGACTGTCACAACAAAAGATTACAGGCTGGGTGGCTTCAATAAAAGAATTTTATTTCTCACATTTCTGGAGGCTGGAAGTCTAAGATCAAGGTGCCAGCAAAATAGGTTTCATTGGGACGCCTCTTAGCTTGCTGGTGGCCACAATGTTGCTATGTGCTCACATCACCTCTTCTGTATGTGTGCACCAGGTGGGCAGAGCAAGAGAGCAAGCATTCTGGAGTTTCTTCTTAACAGGGCACTTAGTCCATCATGAGGGCCCTCCCTCTCATGACCTCATCTAGCTCTAATCACCCCCCAGAGGCCTCATCTCCGAAGAGCATCACGCTGGAGGTCAGAGGGTCCGCATGAGTTTGTGAAGATACATTCAGTGCATAATAATATACATAAAGTTATTCAAGGTCCTAATAACACAGGAAGCCAGAACCTGGATAGAAGGCTTTAGTTGCTTAGGAGGCACATTCTGCTTAAGGCAATTGTGTCCCTTAAAGACTGTCTGTTTTTGAATAAAATGGACAGAAGGGCCAAA